AACACATTTATCTGTTTCGGTTGTGTGTTTGATTGTAGTTTAAGACCATGTTAAGTAACTGCAGTGACTGCATCAGAATAATGTGTCTTAAAATGTTAATTCTGGTTGAATATGTTTTGGTAGTGTTTGTGTATTTAGGTAGTGTAGTTTTCTCCACTTGATGATGTATTTTGGGTATTTGTGATCTTTGTATGAGTTCTAATCTTCTTTATTTAGTGTTTGTTGAAATAAATTTGTGAATATGTTAATTAATTGTGTGTATATAGTGTCACTTGTTATAAATGTCATTTTAGTGTTTTTATTAGTGTATGTTATAAGTAGACAGCGGACATATAGACCCTTAAAAGTGGCATTTTAGGCACTTAACATAAGCTCTTAAATTGCATCATTTAGGCTTTATAAACAAAAAATAGGCAGTCAAAATTTGCACAACGAACAATTAACCTACTTATCAGGACGATGAATTTTTTATTTAACATATGTATTCCAAACAAAAATGTATGTATTCAGAATGATGCAAACACAAAAGTAGACAAACAATTATCTTTACATTTTTTATTTGCTCTGTTTCCCATAGTTAGCTTCGTAATATATTACAAGCACTTTTTCCAAATTTTCAATAGAAAAGTTGCAACATTTGTCACTGAGAATTAATTTATACGCAGAGAAAAATAATTTTACATCTGAAGATAATGGACAGTATTTCATCCTTGGAAGATGATGAACTGGAAATTCACTTTCAGTTTTGCTCTTCTTTCCTGCCAAAATATCAGCCACAACAAACGAGCACTTTAATCTAAGTCTCTTTTGAAGCACTCTTTGTTTACTTCTTTTGCAGCAGTGCCTAGTGCATCACAAAGTTTCTGGTTGCTCTGTTGAGGAGATCAATTTGTTCATATGTAGGTTTCCCACTATTTTCAAGAGCAGTAATAGTATCTTCAATGAATGTGAAATAACACTTTATGTACACCAACTTGTTCTGAAAATAAATGTCGTTCAAAATTTTCTTGGCTTTAGTTACACAAACTGCATCGTACGCTAAAGTGGCCAGAAGTTTTTTGATATCGAAGAAATGTTCACTGTAGTAGTTAGTACAAAATCTTAGCCATGTATATGCTAAGGAAAAAATAGGCATTTGCCTAAAATCTGCTATCTAAAAATGACAAATAAAGCATCTCTAACACTATATTTATTAAATAAAAGCATTTATTTTAAAATATTTTGTATAGTTTTAACTTTATTACTATAAAATTGCGTCGGGGGTGTAATTTATTCTGTTATTATTGCATTCTAATTTTTTCTGCTTGGGATATGCATTCACTGGGACTTAAATATAAATAATCAATAATAATTTTAAAAAAAATGAATTTGTCTGATTGCATTTTCAGAAGAAAAATGAAACTTAAGCAGTTTAATTTAAGAATTAAAGTAAACCTTTGCGGAAAATGAAACAAAAAATTAGTAAAAACTTTTTAAAAATGTGAAAACAAACTAAACTTTGTGTTTTAGGCAAAAATAGGCAGCAACATCAAAATAAGCATTTTTAGACGTTATAAAATACCATTGTTTCTGTCTAAATGTTCATGAAAAGTGTTTATACAAAATCTTAGCCATGTATATGCAAAGGGAAAAAATAGGCATTTGCCTAAAATTTGCTGTCTAATTATAAGGTATATGTTTTCATGAGTGACTGCATTTGGAGTACTTTCAATGAATGTCTGATCTGTGTGATCTAGTGTTTATATGTTGATGTACTGAATCTGTTGTGCAACTTTGTTTTGTTTTTAACCTATCCAATGTTGAAATTTTTATCTGTTGCTTTTGACGCCGTGTTGAATTTTTGTCGATGTTAAGCCTAAAAAAAATTTTTTTTAAATAATTGTGTTTACTGTGTCGTAAAAAATTATTTTTTTATGTTGCATAAACAAAATAAATATATTAAAGAATATAGAAACAAAAAAAACTATATTTCAAAAGTTTGTTTTAATATAAAAATTGTGATGCATAGCGACATCTAGTATCAAAAACGTTCTGATGTAGACACGAAAATACAGTGGAACCCCGGTTAGCAAATGTCCTGGTTAACGACCAAATCGGTTAACGAACTTATATTTTGCAAAAATTTTGTCTCAGATAACGAACATAACGGTATTTTGTGTTAAATTTTAGTTGGTATTAGGCATTCGCGAGTTAAGCATTGCTTTTCCAAGTGTTTGTGCTATACGTCTTTTTTCAGTTTTGTGATTTATATATTTAATCAATATGGCATCCAAGAAAGAAAAAAGTCATAGTGGCAATGGAAAACGACAACGCAATATAAACGACAATGCGCTATCGCATTTGAGAAAAATTTTGATTAAAATAGTAAGACAATCAACTTTAGATCAATTTCTTGTTCCTTATGGAAAGAGTTTGTTTGTTTGTTAAGTTATGTCAACACAACACTTCGGCGATCTGCCTAGGGGAATGCCTTCTGGGAGGTGATTTTAAGGGAAACTGGCCCCTATTTAGGCGTTACAGACGTGGAGAAAACCCAGAAAACTCCATGTGGCCAGCCCGTGTGAGCGAGTTGCGAACCCACGAACGAACTCCCCATGTTCAAGGTACAAAGACCACTTAGCCACTGGTAGCTTTTTTTACCGAAAGAGACTTCAACTCGAAGAATCTTCCAATGAAGTGCTACCCGTTATTTTTTGGAGGGGATTCCCCTTTTAAGCATTAAGGTTCGTATATCTCCACTTTTCTGCCACCAACTAAAACAAATGAAGGTATGTAAGTGCTAGTTTATTAAACAAAGTTTACATGTTTGTTGCTGTAATGATAGAGACTACGTTTTCTTATGTTTTCATCAAAGAAAATTACTGTATATTACAAATAAAATCACAAAAATTTTGGAGACTAGAATGGATTAATTGCATTTGCATTAATTTCTATGGGAAAAATTGCTTTGGTTAATGAACGGAGTCGCGGAATGGATTAAGTTTGTTAACAGGGGTTCCACTGTATTTGGGATCACCCACGCAGGTCAATGACGTCAACATGAATACTTTCGGGAACAACACAGGGCAGGTTAAGCATTGTTTGTGGAATAAGATTGTTGTATATGATTGATCTTTTCTGATCAACCATTCTATGCTTTGTAATAGATGTGGGTGTTTTTGTGTGAATTTGTTGTGTAATATCTTATGCTCCTGCCAGCATTGCTTTGTGGTTCATTGGAACTACTAGGTTCTCTCATTTTGTTAAGGTGGTGAATAGTGACAGTCATTATTGTTAAACTTCTAAAAATTATATTGATAAAATTTTGAATATCTTCAATATAGACAATTACAGATAAGAAGGCATTAATAAATATAGTATGAATATTTAGTTAGATGCTTGCTTTTATCCACTTTCTTCTTTATCCAACATTATTCAATATTCATACATTCCAACAACTTATCCAACATTATTCATATATATTATGATAAATTCTCAGTAGTAATAGAAAATAATAAAATTGTTCACAATTACCAAGACAAACTAAACTTTGTTATATTCAATATAAATCTTTATTCAAAATATAGACTTGGTGCTGCACTTACATGTTATCACTTAATAACACAGCAAAAATTCCAAATTACAAGTTTTGAATAGTTAAATATCAAATTCAAAATTTTAATTTTGGATGGCAAATTGGAAGTGTGTGTTAAGCTGGTGTAAATGTTTTGATATTAAAAGAATTTTTCTCACAATAAATAAATGAAAATTGCAATGCCTTTTATAACTGATAATTTGAATATGGTGGTTTTTTAGTTATAATTTGACAATTTCTTTTATCAGATTTTTTAAAATTTCAATTTATTTATTTTTTTTCTGAAGATATTTAAATTGAAACATAATAATAAACTTAATAGAAATTATTAAATGAACTGATGACTTGTTAATGTCTTTTTTTCCAAAGTTTACTGATTTTATTTTCTAGAATAATTTTATTAATTCTTTGTGCCTTATGTCCTTAATATTTCAACTTTTATATTGTCCATGTAAGCCTTGTTTATAAGTAGGACTTATTATACTGATGTAGTTTCAAATTAGCAAAGGGAGGAAGTCTTAGTCAAAAATAAAACAAAAAGTATCTTTATTTTTGACTCTTCTTCCTCCCCTTGCTAATTTGAAACTTCAATGAAACTTCTATAATTTATCATTGGGAATATGGGGAATAACCTGACCAACCCAATTGCCAGTACTATTATATGAAATTGTAGCTTATGTTAAAATCTAAATATGCTGGTGTCTTTTCACAAATTGATTGATTGAAGTTATCATCAGTTATAGCTCAAGGAATGGTGCTTCTCATGCTAATATAATTATTGTTGTTTAATTTTTCCTTTTTTATTGAGCATTGTGATGTGTGTCACTGGTTTGTACAGAGCTTGCACAGAGTTTGTATTGTGTTGCTACTACAAACTAGAAATAATTTCATTTTTAATTTTAGTTTGACTCTAAAAATTAATTTTATTATTTTGTTTGAATTTTTGAAAATATTTTTGAAAGTTAATTATCTTTAAAAATGCATGGCTTAATAAAAAAAAAAAAAAAAATACAAACTGAGAAGTACTGATTAGTTTATTTTTATTTTATAGTTTTGTACAAGTGTTGTGTCACTTCTAATCAATACTGTTTTTTATAATTAAGTAGACTATGTTTGAATAGATATTGTTCATCTAATTGATTGCCTTTTAATTTTATTTTAACCATTAATATACTTGAATAATAATTCTAAGTCAGTTCAGCCTAGGTCAAACTAGTTAAGCCTAAAGTATTTAGGCTTAACTAGTTTGACCTAGATTGTCCTGGGCTAAACTAGTATATCCTGACACGCGTAGGATAAACCCGTTTGGCCTGAATTGGGTTTGGCCGTAACGTGCACAAAAATCTAAATCATTTTAATTTATGAGAAAGTTTTAATTTTCAATAGTTACTTTCTTATAATGTAGTTTCATTTTTTTATAATTTAGGACAAAACCAGGAAAACATAGACGAGGTTATATGGGTCATTTAACCAAAATAGCAAATCACATTGCTCAAAATGCAGAAAATGGAATCAATAGTGATTTAATAAAAAGTAAAATTAAAGGTTTGTATGATCATTTCATTTATATTTTTCTTAAATTTTTGTAAATAAAATTTAGATTTTATTTTGACAAAGAATTTATTGCTTTTTAATATTTGAAACATGTATAGAATAATTTTTACACTTTTGTTTTAATTTATCAAATTGTTTAAAATTTATAATCGAAAAAAAAATAGAACAAATGTAAATAATGTAAGAGAAACTTACTTTTCACTAATCAAAAAAATTGCATAAATCAAACAATTCTTTAAATAATAGGTTAGGATTTTGTTTTTATTAGGTCTTTATTATTTAAAATAAAAATAATAATTTTCCAAATGTCATACTGTAATGGAAGTTAAAACTTTAAGAGACATTGCTTGATATCAAAAACTTAAATATATTCACTTATGCAAATAAGCATTTCAGATATGTGATAATCTTATTTAACAGGTTTGAGATATGTTTGTTTAAGAAAATGCAGTAAAGAAAATACTTTCTACATAGATTCATTCTTATTTTTTAAAATTAGTTTTGTAATTTACACATTCTTGCTCACATTTTTACGAAATAAATATATTAATGTTTAACTTACAAAAGTATTAAACAACAAAAAGGAAATTTCATTTGACAAACTAATATGGTGTGTTGAAAACATATTATAATTTCAAAGTATAATTTATTTACTACAGTGTCTCCTTCATTGGAAAATGTTGCAATTTTTGAATACTCAAGGAAACTTATTTATGTTAAAGTTGTGTTTTAAACCTGGTGATAGTTTGTTTTGTGTCATTGTCTTTTGATTTATCATCAGTTATAACAAAAATTCAGAAAATAAAAATTTCTGCTTCTTACATTAAATACTGATTTGTAGAGTTTGTTTGTTTATTTACTTACTGCAAATTTCACAAATATTGGAGTCTGAACAGTAAATCCAATATACTCCTTTCAACCAGATTTAGTATAGATTTACCTATATTTGTTTTTATGCCTGTGATTTTCACTGGTAATGTTACATTTTATCTTCTCTTTTTTTTAAGTATTGTGTAATAAACTAACTTTTAGATTATTATTTTTTATTTAGATTATATAATTAATGAATTAAATTCTTGAAGAGAAATGTTACTTTTAGCAAGAAGTGAATTATATTAAAATCTTTTAGTTTATTAACTTGATTCATTTTACTTCATATTTTTAGATTTACCAGAAGACTATAGAAACAGATGGGAAACTTTTGTTTCAGAAGTATTGAGTGAAATTAATAAAAAAAATCAAACACCATTGGTAAATATTTTGTTTGGTTTTTTTCAATATGAATGTATATTTAAATTCTAGGCATTTTGCAAACATTATATACAATAGAATCTGCATTTTGTAATTGGTTATTTGTCATTTAACATTATCAGAATTAGTTTTTATGCAAACATTTGCATCTTGCAAATAAGTTAAAATATGCTTATACAATTTTAATTATTATAATCAGTTGTTTTTTACTTGAAAATAATAGTTTATCTTTCCATATCTGAACTAATGTTGCCAGAGTGATCTGGATAAAAGACTGATGATTTTTAAATAAGACTAACATACGAGGGTAGTCCCAGAAGTACCCGACCTAACAAAGAAGACATAAAAAATTTGGTAAAACATATCTATATTTTTCGACATAGTCTTTTTTTAGCTCGATACACATTTTCCAGCAATGCACAATAGCTTCGATCCCCTGTTTATAGTGAGAACTGTCGAGCTACTCAAAATAGCCATCAACCGCAGACTCCACCTCTTCATTGTTGGCAAATCTTTTATCACCAAGCCATTTTTTTAAGTTTGAAAAGAGAAAATAATCCGAGGGGGCTAAATCAAGTGAATAGGGTGCGTGAGGAAGCAATTTGAACCTTAACTCATTGATTTTGGCCATCGCAATAACGGATGTGTGAACTGGTGCGTTGTCTTGATGAAACAACACTTTCTTTTTCGCCAATTGTGGCCGTTTTTCCTTGATTTCATCACTCAAGCGCTGCAATAAGTTCGCATAATACTTGATTGTTGATTGTTTTTCCTGGGCGCATCCCAAAAAACTGACGCCATGACCTTGCCAGCAGATGGAACTGTTTTCGCCTTCTTTGGAGCTGATTCTCCTCTTTCAGTTCATTGTTTAGACTGTTCTTTCATCTCAGGTGTAAAGTGATGGACCCATTTTTCATCTATGGTTATGAATCGACGCAAAAACTTGGCTTTGTTGCAGCGAAACATTGCCAAAGACTCGATTGAAACATCCTCACGACGCTGTTTTTGTCCCATTGTGAGCAAACGCAGCACCCATCTTGCGCACAGCTTTCTCATGTCCAAATTTTCAGTTAAAATGCGATGTACAGCACTTTTTGAAATGCCTACCATGTCTGCTAGCTCTTGCACTTTGAGTTGACTGTCATCCAATATTATTTTGTGGATTGTTTTCACCATTTTTGGCATGGTCACCTCACTTGGTTGACCACTATGATGTTCGTCTTGGCAGCTCGTACGGCCTCGTTTAAACTCTGCCACCCAATATTTTATTGTTGTAAACGAGGGAGCAGACTCCCCCAGAGTAGAATCTAGCTCAGCTTTAATATTGGTTGGACTGAAACTTTTCAAATGAAAGTATTGTATCACATAACAATGACAAATTTTTTCCATGTTTACAAATTCACTGAGATTGTTCACTATTTATGGCTGCCAAAAAAATACTATACAACGTAACGTCTTCAAACTTCAAACTTAAGCTTTATAAGGTTGATACTTTCGAACACAGTCGTTTTTTTTTCAAACAAGTACTGCCATCTATGTCAGGTCGGGTACTTCTGGGACGACCCTCGTATATGCCTACTATATGTATTTAAAAAAAGTCAACATAAACATTTTTTTTATTTTACAGTCCAATGTCTTATCATTATCACATTGGTGAATTGATGAATTGTGCTTTTCTGCAAACTTCAATACAACCTTAATTTAAAAAAGGAACATACTTCAGTATGGAAAGATAAGATTTGTAGTAGTGTACAATATTTTAGAAAATTTTTGGTTGCCTTTGATGTGGGAGAGAGTATTGAATTCTAAAAAACCTTTCAGTCTCAACAAGTGACAATAAATGCAATCTTTTTATATCTTAAGACTAAAACAATGCTTCAAATGTTAATCATTTTAATTATTTGCTTGCAGCAGAGTAGCTTAAATTGCTTGAATTTCTTATTTCAATGTTGTACTGGATGAATTGAGTATTTTATAGTTTTTATACCTTTTTCCCTCCTCCCTCTTCTAATATTCTTTTAATGTCAATGAAACCAAAATTGCCACTAATTTTTATTTCAGTTATTTAATCCACTTGCTGCTATTGACTAATTGATGATAAAATCCAAAATAATTACAGTTAGCAGATTCTATTGTGTGTATATATTTACAAATTATTCAGTTGACTTTCAGTAACAAGTTCTAAATTAAGATAGCTTGTATGGTTTGTGGGTGTATTTAAAATTCAGTCTTAAAATATGTATATATTATTTAGACTTATAAAGTTTGATTTGCTTTGATTCTTTGATTTATATATATATATATAAATCAAAGAATCAAAGCAAATCAAACTTTATAAGTCTAAATAATATATACATATATACAGTTCAGCACACAGACAGAAGATATGGCTGCAAATGGCATCTAAACATGTGCAAAGTATGCTGAAAGTAGATGCTCATGCACACTGTTGCAATCATGTGTCATTCTCACTCTCATTCACAAACGAACCTTATTTAAAAAAGAGCCCTTGTATATTTTTAAAAATCATTACACAATCTCTTCACACAAAATAAAACTTTACTTCTGTGTCAAGCTAATTTTATACTAATTCTTATGTTTTTTTCGCCTTCCCATTCTAAGAAATCTTAATCTTATATATTATACAGTAGAGCGTCGTTTATCCGAATCAACTGGGGACTTTGGTGGTTCGGATAACGAATCATGTATGAAAAAATATATTAATTTATCCCATGTTGAAATTTCTCTCCATTGCGTGTCACTTCGCATTGAATTTTTGTCAATGTTAAGCCTAACGAAGACTATTGTATCATTAAAAATTATTTTTTTTTTATTTTGTACAAACAAAATAAATATATTGAAAAATATAAAAACAATAAAAAATTATACTTCAGATGTTAATTTAGTATCAGAAACGTAAAATATTTGAGTAGCCCGAGAAATAGCCGAAGATTGCAGCGCCACAGCACTGGCGAAAATTTAAATTTGCCGACTGGAATGCTTTCGGATAACCAGCTTTCGGATAAACGACGCTCTACTGTAGT